GAGGCGCAAGGGCGGCGCGTCTTACCGGAGTCTCTCGCTGGTTGTAAGACATGATGGAGCCTAGATATTTGCCAGATATCTAGGGTGGGGTAATGCTACCGGGGAGACATTGGCGACGCACGGGGAGAACAAAGCTGGAGCAGAGGGAGCGAGGGTTAAGCAGCGACAGTCTTAGCGACTAGAAAATGATACCGGGTGGGGTCCCAGCTCCGGCCAATGGAGCGGCGGTCGATGGCACTTACTAGGCTTGGCGGCCTACGAACTTTGTGACGGGCATCTCGACATCCGCACCACCAGACGTCTTTCCATCCATTGCCGTCCCCCGCACACCACCCAGCCCTCCGCCCGGCGCCTACACCACGATGCTCTCCCGAACGACCGCCTGCCGGGGCGCGCAGCGTGCAGCCCGCCAGCAGCCCGTCGCCCGCTGCCAGCGCCGCGGCCTGGCTGCCCCAGCTTCAGGCTCCTTCAACTACCAGGCCGGCGAGGCCAAGGGCGTCAAGTACGCCAGCAGAGACTTTGCCGGCCCCACGACGACGCTGGCCCTGGTCGCAAAGGCCGGCACGCGCTTCCAGCCGCTGCCCGGCTTGACCGAGGGCCTTGCCAACTTCGCTTTCCGGGTACGCTGAATTGAGACTGCCGATGCTATGGAGAGCGAGACTGACGCTCCGGACCTCTAGGGCACCGAAAGACGGTCGACGCTGCGCATTGTCCGCGAATCCGAGCTCCTGGGCGCCAGCCTCAACGCCCACCACTCGCGCGAGAACCTGGTGCTCGAGGCCAAGTTCCTCCGCGATGACCTGCCCTACTTCGTCGAGCTGCTCGGCGAGGTCGCCAGCTCCACCAAGTACCAGCGTAGGCAAAATTGACACCCCGAGATGGATGGAATTGACACTGTGCAGCCCACGTCTACGCCGAGGAGGTGCTCCCCATGATCCACTTCGCCCACAAGAAGTTCCTCGCCAGCGTCACCGACATGGCCACCCAGTCCGCCCACAGCCTCGCCTTCCACCGCGGCCTCGGCGTCCCCACCGCCTCCGCTGCCCCCACGCCCTACACCAAGTACCTCGACGCCGAGACCATTGAGTGGTACTCCAAGATCGCCTACGCGAAGCCCAACTTCGCCGTCGTAGCCAACGGTGCCGACCACGGCGAGTTCTCCAAGTGGGTTGGCGAGTTCTTCGAGAACGTCCCCAGCACTCCTCTCCAGGAGTCCAACACTGGTGCCGACCAGTCCAAGTACTACGGTGGTGAGGAGCGCATCGCCCACGATAGCGGCAACGCCATGGTCATTGCTTTCCCTGGCTCCAGCTCCTTCACCGGCAAGTTCTACAAGCCCGAGATTGCCGTCCTCAGCTCTCTCCTCGGAGGCGAGTCCGCCGTCAAGTGGTCGCAAGGCTTCACCAAGCTCGGCCAGGCCGCTGCTCAGGGTGCCAAGGTCAAGACCACCAGCGCCATCTACTCCGACGCCGGTCTCCTCTACACCACCATCACCGGATCCGCCAAGGCTGTCGCCCAAACCGCCCAGGCCGCTGTTGATGCCATCAAGAAGATTGCTTCCGGCGAGATCTCAAGCGAAGAGGTCTCCAAGGCAAAGGCCGCCGCCAAGTTCAAGGAGCTCGAACACGGCCAGGACATCCGCGCTGGTCTCGAGCTTACTGGCAATGGTCTGATCCACAACACCCAACCGTACCAGATCGACGAGGTTGCCCAGAAGATTGACGGCGTAACAGAAGAGTCCGTCAAGAAGGTGAGTCTTTACACTTTCATTACCCACGTGATGTGTACTAACAACTACGCCAGGCTGCTAAGGAACTACTTGAGAGCAATGCCTCAGTATCATCCGTCGGTGACCTTTTCGTACTCCCCTACGCTGCGGATCTCGGCCTGAAGGTGTAAATACAGTGATTATGTAGCGCAGTAGATGTGGAATCTCGTTTGTGTAACATTATCTTGTGATAGTCCCTGATAGATGCATCTCGTATGAGAATTCTTTTGTTCAGACGATTTTCAATCAACCCGATATGTGAAGTATTGCTATGAGACAGCTACTGGCTTCTTGGCCATTTCATAGCCCCTGTACAAGGCCTGTGTTTATGAATGTGGCGTTCAGTGTTAGCTTTCCACGTGCCAGCGCGTCAACGCACAGACCCGGCTGCACGCATCGACGTCAACACACACGTCTACCCACGCATCCATCCCGTATTGTGCTCAACAACCCCGCACACCACGTCCACTGGGCCCAAACTCTCCTACACATCCTATAATAAGCCATCGCCTCAACCTTCGCAAGCGCTAAACGCAAACCATGGCGCCGACCCTCTACCCCCGCGGCACCGTCAAGAAGATCGTCAAGGCGCATTCCAACAGGCCTTTGAGCAAGAACGTGGATATACTGGTGCGTTGATGCTATTGGTTGTAGAGGGGCGAGAGATGGGAGACTAACGTGCGACGCAGATATATTTGAACTATGTGCTGTTTATGCAAGAGTACGTACTTCCCATGTCCATACACTCCACTCCACGATACGATACGATACGATGCGATGCCACACGATGCTTCCTTCGATTCACATCACATCACGACACGGTGCGACGAAGGTCGGATATTTTGGAAGGGCACAGAGCAAGGAAACGCATTCGCGCAGGTGATGGCAGGAGGTGGAGGCAGGGAATAAAAGGAGAAGACGGGAGCTAACGATACCCGCAGACTCATCAACGAAGCGAGCATCAAGAGCAAACAACGCGGCGAGCGGGGCTTGTCGGCCAAGAGCGTCAAGAGGGTTAGCGAGGATGTGTTGAGGAAGTACAAGGGTTGAGTGTGGTGGGCTTGAGGGTATGGGCGAGGCGCCTACGAGTGGATGAGCTGACTGTGGACGATGGGATTGCTACGGATGGCATGCTGTCGTCCCACTGGGCTTTTTCGACAGGCCGGTCAACTGTGGAGGCGTTTCGGGAGCTTTAGTTTGGTGTTTGTGATACCCGGGTATGTTCTTATGGCGTAATGGTAATGTTGTTTCTTGCACTGGGTGCCATGGAGAAGCACTCATGATTTCACAAACGCAGAGTATACAGCACTCTGCAATGGGCTCATCTGAAAAGATTTAATTTGAGAGTCGCTAACTGCATGGAACTTGTAACAAGTGCCACTTGCAATCAACTTGAGAAGAATCAGTCTCTCGACAAACAGGTCCAAGCTATGTTCCACTGAGGATCAGAACTAGTTGTGCTCCTACTACCGTATGTTCGTTCAGGCTTCGCCCCGACTATAGGTTTCAAACGATCGCACGCCCCTCCTGGTCGTCATCAAAACCCAAGACAGCGTTCCTCGCTCATGAAGATCTCCCCACTTGCTGATACCAAACGACGTGGATCAAACTAGCTATAGGATAAACTCGCAAGAGGTGGGCACCTCTCCCGGAACTCAAGAAATATTCCCCTCCCTAGACAATAGGGAACTTAGACAAATACACCTGACGCTTGTTCAAGACATTCAAGAACTCATCGTAGTAACATGACTGTGGCACAGTATCTCTGGGATCACCTGCTTGAAGCCGGTTCGGACACCTGAGTCCACTGTGGAACTTGCTGAACTTGCCAGGCAGGGAACTAGGATCCTCTATGTTGTAAGGAGCGAGTAGATGGGCTAGCAGGGCGGCCTGACAGCGCAGTTCCTCCTGGGCAAAGAATGTATGGTGATTAAGCACCTGGTTCCAGATGTTCATGGCTCGATGGAAACCAGCTGCTTCCGCTACCTGGAGATCGAAGTCGCGCGACTTGGTGACTAGACGCTGCTCTGCTAGACACGGCTCGGCTGGATGCTGGGCGACTGGAGGCTTCTCTACCGGACGGGGCTCCACTTTGATCAACTTGATTGCAACAAGTTGCTTAGCGAGCTCCTCTCCAAAGCATTGGTCGATGCACCAGCTCGGCAATCCGCTCCAGAGGCTGAACTAAAGACGTTTTAGTGATGCATTCACTGTAAGACTGTAGTGGTTAACTTACATTGAATTGAGGAGGGTTCTGAGCAATGATTGCCTTGTCGCTGGCGTTGAGCTTCGCTTGAGAGGGCACATTAGTTCCTGCGTCGAATGCTTTCATAGCTTCGAGTGCCGCATGGTCAAATCGCTTCTGCTTGTACGTAGCGACAGCATTGGACAAGGGCGCCATGGTCTGGTCGAGGTATTGCGGACAATGAAGGTAGTATGCAGAAGTGGGAAGGAACGGTTGGATTTTGATGTTGTGGGTGGGTTGAGGAGTAGAGGTGAGAGCGCGATAGATTGCTTAACAGGCAGGCGCGTCTTAGCGTGGATATCGAACTCCAGGTGAGTCTGAGTTGGGCAGTCGCGGTGACCGCGCGCGTCATGGCATATTCTTCATGCGAATACGTTGACGCCTTTGTACCTGGTCATTTGAAGGAGATATGTTTGACCAACAAGAGCTATACACCCCGTTGAATCAAGAACTCGAGAGACAGTAACGTGTGAGCGTGAATAGCCGGCCCCGTTCGTCAGGCATTCAATTTGCTCTTTGAGTTCTTGAACTTCATTCTTAGACTGGTCGCGACTGTCGCAAGTAGGACCACACTCATTCTCGAGCTCAGCAACTTGTTGAATAAGTCTATTGCTGGCCTTTTGCAATTCGTCTTACTCAGAGTTAACACGGTTGACTTGCTCTTGAATCTGCAAAGTTGCGAAGTCAGTATACCTGGGTATGTCTCAGGTGTACTCGGATCGGTCAAAGCTTACATTATCTTAATCCGAAATAAGACCCTTAACTTGCTTTCTGAGCTTATGTCGTGCTGATGTAGCATCATTAATTATTTGCATGGCGCAGCAGACTCTGAGCACGGTTCGTCAACTTGTCTTCGCAACTCGCCAAGTGTTGTTTTATAGTCGCTGATTAGCTGCTGTAGTCTAGTGCATCCATAAAGCGGCTCGTCAAAGCGATGCCCGTTACAGCTTCCCTATACGTCCAACACGCTCGCTCGATTTCTTCACCTCAATCCTTGACAACCTTCCCAACAATCCACCCCTCAGCATACCTTTTCCCCGTCGCCGCCTCCGGAATCTCCACTTTGAACCCTTCACCAACATCCCCCTTCCCCTCATCCTCCTTACCCCTACCCTCCCCAACAACAACAAGATCCTTAACCTCCTTAACCGCCAACCCCAAACTAACACAACTCGCCACCATCCTCCTAACCTCATCCTCCCAACTCCCCTTCACCCCCTCCGCCTTCGCTGTGCCCACACCCAATCTCTTGTATTCAGCAAACGCCGTCTTCGCCGCCTTGATACGGTCATCGACTTCCTGCCAGAGCTGCGAGTCCTTGTTTTGGATATCCTTGACGAATGTCTCCGGCGGGGGCTCGGAAGCAGACGGCACCGGTCCATAAGGCTGGCTATACGCTTTGAAATCGTCGAAAGGCGGTGCTTCGGGTGGCTGCAAGGCGAGGAAAGGTTTCATTCTGAGTTCGTACCGGAGCTTTTCTGTGGAAAAGGGAGTGCGGCGGGGCATGGGTAGTTTACCTAGGTAGGCGCAGATGACGTAGAAGCGGGCGAGAGCTAAAGCTAACGATGCTGTTCCCTCCGTCTCAGCGAGCAGGGAGTCTAGGAAGGGTGACGCTTCTTCCACGTCTTGAACCTCTCTGAATCGACGCGATTTGAGAAGCTCAGTGGAGATGCTGAGGTAGTGTGCTTCCACCCTCTTTAGCAACTCTTTCCGTCGTGTAGCGATGAGCGAGAGGAAGAGGTACATGCCCGCGTACTCATCCGGCAGGTAGATGTCCTGTTCGAAACCGAGTAAGATGACCTTTTCTATCATCCAGAGCTTCTTGTGGTAGACCCAGGTAGAGAGGGAGAACTCCATAACCTGGGCGCTCTGACCGAGAGTGGCGGCCGCGGAAGATATGTCCATGTCGATTGAGCTTGCGTCGGCTTGAAGCAGGTCCCAGCCTGTGATGACGTGCGTCAACATGCGTCTCAGTCGACAACGGTTCTGGCCCATGGCGACCCAGAGATCGAGGTAGGCTTGGCCGGCGCGGTCTACGAATTCGTCGATGAGCATTGCGAACTGGAGGCGCGGGGGTTTGGGTATGAGAGCATTGCGCGGTGGTGACATTGTCCAGTTGATGGGGTCTATGACGGGTGAAGAAGGAAAGACGAGTGTCTTTACGTCGACGAGAGGGAGGGAAACGGAGGCGTTGAGGACGTCGGGGTGGAAGAGTAGGGTTGCGAGGTAAGAGCGGGCGTATGTCAGTGGCGGGGGTGAGCGAGCGGAGAAGTGCCATAAGAAGGACTGGTATTCGAGGGGGTCTTGTGGAAGAGCTGGGAAGCGCGTGGCTTCTGCGCAGTCGGTGGCTATCTGGTGTAGCTTTTCCAACGCATCCTTGAAGTCGAGTTCTACGATTGGTCGTGGGGGAACTGTAGAGGCGAGACGACGTTGCATCTTCGGACTGAAAGCACCGGGCACTGTCTTCCCAAGCTGATGCGTGTTCTTCAACGAGTCGATACCTTGAAGTATTGGTGGCCATGAATAGGATATCTGGTCGAGCGGTAGATCCAAGTCAAGGGCGCGAAGGAAGTCTTTCCGGAGTTCTAATCGTGAACTGATTGCCTTCCGAAGCGCATCATTGATCTCAAATTCGGGACTACGATGTGTCAGCAGGCCGTCAATTGTACAGTCCGCGGTGAAGCATACTCTTCAATCGTCTCCACCGCCGCATCCAACTCTCTCAAAAACACATCCATCGGCACACTAACAAACAACACCCGATTATACGTATGCGTGCAAAAGTCCTCCTCTTCAAAGTAATCCCTGCCCGTAATCTTCGCAATCACAAAGTCGCATCCTTTGATCAACGCTAGACAATACGCTCTCAGTACTTCCAGCAACGGTCCAGGACGTCTTTCATGCAGGAGTTCCCCACGGTAGAACTGCGCCTGCTCGAGGATCTTAGTCTCGGGCCAGAGCAGCTTATCGATGTGCAAAGACGTGAAGAGAGTCTGGGATAACGGGTAGCCGGTATGCCAGGCCATTTCGTAGCAGAGTAGTTGGTCCATGATGCCTATTAGTTCCTCAGGTAGAAGGGGAGCCAGAGTGTCGTAGTCGTCTTCTAGGGTTTCTCCGGGTTGGAGGAAGCCGCTGTCCATTTTGGGGTCCATGATCTGTTGCATGTAAGAAATAGAATCTGATTCGTGAAACGAGAGCGGCGTACTTCGATGGCCCCGATGGACTCAAACAGCGTAAAGTATTCATCTTTGACGAGTTGGCCGACTTCGAGAGCTAAGTGTTGTCAGTCTTTGTTGCCTGACATATCGTGGTAACGACCGTAGTACGACATGACGAGGCAGCCCCGCCATGCCCCTCAATGTACCTGAGGTCGCAACTCACCATTACAAGCCCTCGTAAACTTGCCCGTCACATCATGAATCTTTGGCTGCGTCCCCGCGACCGGATGTCTTGATTGTCTCAAGGGTAAATTAGCGGAAGTAGAGGCCGAGATGGTAGGCGCAGACTCTTGCGCATGCGAGGGGCCTGTGCATCATCAGTATCGACTGCTCTACGCAGAAGTAGAAGAAACAATTACCAGCCCCGTCAACGGCTACACCTGTGTCATGATCCGGGGTGGGGGCTGTGCTGTGGCTGCTAGACGCATCTGCCATGTTGTGGTGGAGTCGGTGCCGATGCGGGAAGATTTGTGACAGCCGAGTTGGACAGGCGCGCGTCCGAGGCAAGCGGCAACATTACTGGTAGTCACGACCGTCATCTCACTTCTACTTCACAAGCGCATGGGATTACTGGGGAGAGTGAATGTCGGCTCAATTGTTGGCGTGCATCGGCTTTGATTCCGCTCCAGCTTGATAGTACAGCTTATACGTCTATCCTCCCCAAGCGTCATCTCTCCTCCGTTGTCCGTGCCACTCCATCGTGTCTATGCCATGTCCCTTCCTCTCAATTGCTTTACGAGGTCTTGGCGGCATCGGCCTGTGCCTGGAGCGCCGCAGCGTTGAGCTCCTTCAGCTCGCCCTGCTTGCCGTTCTGCCCATTCCGTTAGCCCAGCCCAACTGCCTCACTCCATCCTGTCCCATCATCCTGACTCACCTCCCACTTGGCGAAGCGAAGTTCGCTCTCGCCCCTTCGCTCGGCAGCGATGCGCTTGTCCTCCTTGAGCGAGCGGCGCACGACGCGCGATGCGACGGCAATGTAGCGGTTGTAGCTGTTCAACAGTCAATGGCGGGTCCAAATCTGGGGCTGCAGCGGCTGCAGGAGTGGGCGGGCGTACGTGAGACCGGCGGCTTTCCACGCGAATGCCATTGTGATGGTAGGATGCGGGTTCGTGGGTGTGGACGGGGTTTGGGTTGCGGGTGCAGGTGTTGAAGTTGCTGAGCTCCGGCGAGATTTCGCGCATGCGGCTCGGAGCTGCAGATCACGTGCACATATCAGGTACGGGAAACTTTTGGGTAAACTGCACCCTGGCGGATACATGATATTTTACTTGATGGAAAGCAACTACAAAACACACTGAATACCTCCAGGCTGTCACTGGAGCACTCCAAAGACATACAGGAATTCGAAATCGTGTTCATTATATTTTCATAGCCAGACGGCTACATCATGATCTACAGTCTCTCGTGAAGTGGCTATACTGAGTCTAGCAGACTGCACGCTTCCTTACAACTCCATGGCCTCTCCGCCCTCGGCGGTATCATCGCCGCCTTCCCTGTTCTCAAAGGTAGCGTCCAGCCACTCCGCGACGTCCTGGCCTTCATGGTGCACAAAGTCCTCGCCAATACCGCTGATACCGACGCTGGTGTTGTCAACAGTCAGCTCCTTATCCTGTGACAGCGACTCCTTCAGCGCCCTCAGTGCGTGCTTGATCAACTCCTCCCTGCTCGCGCCCTCGAAGTCGTCCAGATGCCTCTCAAGGTATGTCCTCGCCATTTGACTCCTGGCACCGATACCGCATGCAACCATCTCCTGTGTGACACCGCTGGGCTGAAATTCGAACAGATGCGGGCCCTTTGCGTCAACACCGGCAATCAACAGTCCCACACCATATGGTCTCCGTCCGTACTGTTGGGTGTTGGTCTGGGCACGGTCTGCAATTCGGGAGGTGATTTCGGACAGTGGAATGGCGCGGTCGTAGGTGAGGCGGGATGCCAGTGATTGTTGCTTCATGAAGTTGGAGAGCACACGGGCGTCCGAGGCGAGACCGGCGAGCGCGACACCGAAGTGCGAATCGATGGTGATGATCTTCTTCTGGTAGGAAGAGAGTTCTTCGGCGTTTCGCTAGTAGTCTGTTAGGAATTATCCGTATAGTTGAGAGAGCGTGAGTATTTACCTTGATTGCGGCGAGTACTGCATGAGTCTTGCTGACGATTCCGACGACGACGGAACCCTGCTTCACCGCTTCCTGTGCATATTCGACCTGGAAGATGCGGCCTTGTGGTGAGAATGTGACCGAGTCGTTGTCGTAGTTGTTGCGGAACATGTTGAAGGCGGGATCGTGGGGTGTGGGGTGGTTTGTGGAGGGTTAAAAGAGGGAAGTCGAGACGCAGTATGTTATATGGTGGTGCTGCAATCCAGTGGCGAAGACGGTAGTCGTGTGGTGTGCGGCGTGGGACGAGTACCGAGAGAATGTGGTGTTGCAGCTGGAGGCACCCGCTGTTGACGACGATGAGCTCCAGAAGCTCCAAGCTTGGCAAGGCCCTTAGCGCGTGCGACGCAACCTCACCACCAGGCGTCTAGCAGCCAGACCCCCATCACAGCAACCTCGCATCTTCGCCGGACCGAGGATCGAACCAAGGCGACGTCGGCGCATACTTCTGCAACACATTATCGTCACGTGCAACCCTCTACGAATTCACCATGGCCGGCATCAAGACCATCATAGGGTTGTCCTTCGTACGTCAGCCTGTCGCATGCACGCGCGCTCGCTATTCCACCATGCACTTGCTAACACCGTCTCACTAGGTCCTGGCGATTGGCTTCCTCCTTGTCATCCTCTCCGCCGCGCTCTTCAAGAACTACCTCACGCTTCTCGTCGTCGCAACCTACGTAATCGCGCCCCTGCCCAACTGGCTCTGCGGCCGCGCAGCAAACCGCGATGACTTTATGGAAAGCACCGGAAATGGTGTCGTCGACTTTGGACGGTTTTTGACGGGCTTCTTTGTGGTCATGGGTATTGGTGAGTATACCTGGGTGGCACAGGGACGATTCTGGGGATATCTTGGCAGAGTGCTAACACGTTGACAGCCCTCCCAACACTACTGTGGCATTCAGCAGAGATCGCAGGCGGCGCGGCGGCCATGTCCATCTTCGGCGGTCTTCTGATATACGCGACTATCATCAGCTTCACCCTGTTCTTCCAGGAGCAAGAAGACTTCTGACTCGCCGGCGGGACTCAGCAATGAGGAACCGCACACACACAATCTGGTCCAGCGCGACCACTGGAGGAACGTTGAGGGCGTTGAAAGCAAATGCTGACAGCCGGAAGATTCGGATCGGTGCTGCCCCATGTTTATGTTGTACCCATAGTTTGCTGAGCGTTTTTGTACAAGTATATCGAACATAATGCATAGGATGACTTTGGTTGTCCGTATTGGAACATGATAACTCGAAATCGCTGAATGACTGGCATGAAACAACAAGCTGCCTATGACGAACAGTCCCGACCCTTCAAATACTCGTACATAATTATATCCATTCCATGCGCGTGTCCAGATGCAGAACGCGCGATATCCGTCCTGAATCCTGACCCTTGATCCGCCAGTAGCTTACAACGCCAGGTTGTAGGTGTATTCGTCTTCCATGTTCTGCGCGATCCAGAGCACAGCGGAACTACGCAACATTAGCAGCCATCCCAGCACTTCATGTACGGTACTCACCTCAGCATAAGAAGCGCATTAGCAACGACGTTTCCAACGCCCAGCCAAAGAGTCGGCCAAGTATGCCCAACAACAATAAACTTCATAACCATGACCACAACACTGCCCGCAAGTCCACCAGCCAACAGCGCAAAGCCCAAGAACAACACCAGCCTCGCCTTCCACGCGACGCCGTTTCCAGAGTAGGAGAAGCTGTCGGCAGATAGACGCGACTTGTCGATGCTGTTGATGACGAGCATGCCGAGGGCGCTGCAGATGCCGGGGATCCAGTCGACGAAGGTGATGTGGACGGTTGGTTCGGAGCCGTTCATGGCCGACTTGGACCAGACCGAGATGTCGATGAGGGTGTAGAAGCCCATGGCGAACTGCGCGGCATTGTTAGTGACTCTGTAGGTGTAGGTGTGGCATGCGAGAGGCGCGCACCAAGGCTCCCGCGATGTAGACGCCGGCAGTCCGCGTGTTAGCGCTGTTCATCCACGCGGGCTTGGGGAAGCGGAAGAGGCGATTCGAGTCCTCCATCATGCCGTGCGTATGCGTGTGCGACTCGGTGGGGAGTGGGTTTGTTGGTGGTGTGGGTGTGATGCAAGGAGCTAGCTAGCAGCTGGAGATGCGGTTGCGCCAGTCGAGGTTGCGGTCCACCCGGTCGCGCCTGCCCTTGGCACTTACGTGCCTGGTCCGTCGGCATCTGCAGCTCGCCAACCGCCGACGAAAAGTTCCAGACTTCCAGAACTTCTTTACAACCAACACCAACTTTTGCGCCAACTTCACCCACGCACTCGACACCTCGCTAAAATGGGTCTCTCCAAGCCCTCCACCAAGGGCAAGACCTCGTCGAAAGGCAAATCCGGCCCTGCGAAATCCGGCGCGAACAAACCGAAAGCGAAGTCTGCGAAACCGACTGGTAGCGCGCCCGAGGGCATATCGAAGCGCAAGCAAAAGTCCATGTCCCTGGCTAAACCAGGTGGCCAGCAAAAGACCAAGAGTGTTGTTTCCCGGGATGGCAGGAAGAAGAAGCGCGTGTATACGGAGAAGGAGCTGGATATCCCGGCGCTGAATGGCATTATACCTGCTGGTATTGCGAAACCGAAGGGTGTGAAGAAGGGGAAGAAGTTTGTTGATGATCCGGCTAGTATGGTATGTAAATCCCATGCACCCACCTTCCGTCCCTCCTACCACCCAATTCACCCAACCTCGAACCCGATACTAATGTCTTCAAGATGGCCATCATGTCCGTCGTCAACGCCGAGAAGGAAGGCCACCTCGAGTCCAAGATCGCCAAAGCACGCCAGCTGGAAGAGATACGCGAGGCCAAGCGGAAAGAAGCCGAGGCGAGGAAATCGGACAAGGACCAGGCTTTCGAGGAGAGGAAACAGGATCTCAAGAAGAAGAGGAAGAGGCATAGTGAGCCTGGTGCGGGTGGGAATAAGGATGAGGGTGATAAGATCAAGGAGAAGGATCGCAAGTTCAAGCAGAGGAAGAGGGTTAGCTTTGGTTGAAGGAAGGGTTGATCTCTGGGGCGTGCGTTGAATCATGATGGAGGGTTATACACAGTAGGACAGATATTGCGGCGAAACGATTACGCATCGTGCACGATATCGAGGAGGCCAGTGTCGTCAGACAGCTCTTGCTGGAAGTGCGAGCACAAAATCACGGCAGATGAGAGGGCGTCATATGTCGCGCAACACATCAGGTCTACAAGCGATCTACGATATCTAAAAGTCTATGATACCCAAACAAATTTACAATCCAATCCAATCCAATCTCCCAATCATAGCTCAATGATCTAAGCCTCGGGCAATATCAACCTCCGATGATTCGGATCGAAAATAGGATACTTCTTCCCCTCCAACCCACCCATATTCACATCCTTCCCCTCATCCACCCCCTTCATAGCCTCACCCTCCACTTCCTCAAACATCTTCTCCAAAAACGCCGCCGCAGCACTCGCAAACCACCTCCCCCCACCCAACTGAAAAGACCCCAAATGACCACCCCAATCCGTCGTACACAACAGCGTATTCGGATTCTGCAACACCTCCTGATACGGCAATCCCGCTTTATTGCTAATCGGATCGTCCTCCGCATTAATCCCCAAAAAGGGGATTCGAATCGCCAACACCGCATCCACAGACTGCGAGTCCCTGTAATACGCGCCTTCCGTCGGATACCCCCACGTCGGACACTGGACATGTCGATCAAACTCATGGAGGTATTTACTCGCTAACAGAGCTGTCTCGTCGATACCGGGGTTCTTTAGTATCTGCGAGCGGTGGCGGTGGAACAGTCCCATGAGGTTCTTGCCCATGGTGCGGGAGTAGATGTGCAGGCCTAAGTAGGTTGATTGGAGGGTTGTGTTGCAGACTTCTAGGTTCCAGGGGTTCGAACAGGATACCGCGGCTTTGAGGGTGCAGCGGGGTCCTTCTTCGCCGCAGTAGTTGGTTAGGATGTTGGCGCCGAGACTGAAGCCTATGGCGTAGAGGGGGCGGTTGGGGAAGAGGGCGTGTAGTGTTTTGATGGTTTGACGTAGGTCCCAGGTTGCGCGTGAGTTGAAGAGTTGGGGCGTGGAAATCGCGGAGAGGGCGCAGCCCCGGCCGTTTACAACACATGCGGCCCAGGGTTGCGAGTGGGATGTCAGGAGCGGTTGGAGGGTTTCGCGGAGGTAGACTTCGTGGGAGCCGCCGGTTAGGCCGTGCAGGGCTATTAGCATGGGGGTGTTGTCTGGACTGCCTATTGCGTCCCATTCTTTGGGCGTGAAGTTTGTGGTTCGCTCGGGGAGTTCGGTGGTGTCTTTCTCTTCGGTCATTCGCGTAGCGGAGGCGAGTCCTTCTTCTTTTGGTACGACGAAGTCTACGGCAAAGGTGCCTGGGTAGACGGAGTGGTCAGAGTCGAAGATTTGGCGCTTGTAGTAGATTTCTGGGCCGGGGTCTTTGACGGCTGTGTACATTGTCTGGAGGTGGCCGTTGAAGAGGAAGGGGTTTAGACGGCATGGTGGGATTGAGGACTCGGCGATCTCTTTGAGGGTTGTTTTTGAGCCAGTCTTGGTCTGGAGGGGTGTTGGCGAGGCATGAGAGGTGTAGGTCGTTTTGCTGTGGCCTAGGAGCCAAGACATGATGGATTTGGGTGAAGTACGCTCTGGATTGATTGAGTGTCGGGTCTTTGTATGAGGTCTGAAGACACCGCCGATTAAAATCCCACCTCAGCACTGTTACACGCCTTCGGTCCTGTTCCCAGCTCTTTCACGATACCCTCACTCAGTCGATCAATGGCTGGAATGTTTGGTGTACTTGATGAATTCAGTTTCAAGAAGACGCCCTGCTCTAATTGATCTTAACAAAGAGATGGTGAAAGTCTTATCTAGACATACGTACGTAAGGTTGAAAGAACTGGGCCTCGGTCTGGCTACGACTAGGCTGCATGTGTTGGTGCAGCAAGCGCGCGTCTGTCGGCCAATGGCGCTCAACGGCGCTGGCGCGTTCGCGATTGCCCAAGTTCGCGACTGCCCATTACACGTCCTCACGTCGACACCCCGCTTTCGCCCACGATGCACCGCCTGTACCTCGACTCTCGGTGACCATTCCTCTCCTGAGTATCCTCCGCCATGGACCCGCGATACGGCTGGCAGCCCCAGGGCTATCCGAACGGCCAGTACAATCCGTATGCGCCGCCTCCGCAACAACCGCAGCAACAGCAGCCAAATGTCTACCAACAGCATGGCTACCCTCAGTATCCTCCCATGCAGATGCAAGCGCCACAAGGATATCCTCAGTCACAGCCACAGCAGTATCAACTGCCGCCACAGCCCAGCATGCCCCGACCCATGAGCCAGCAGTATGCGCCAATGCCTCCCCAGATGCAGCCACCACAGCAACCCCAGTACCAACGGCAGCCTCAAGTCGTCATTCCGCCGAGGACACAGCAATATGCTCCCATGCCGCAGATGCAGCCCCCAAGGATCCGACATGTCCAGGTGCCGGTCCAGCGAACAGGCAGCACGGGCATCGCGCAAACAGACGGCTCGGGTGACCAACAGCGGCGGTATAGCGCACAGCAGGCACCCACCACGCCCAGCTCCAAGCCAGTGCAGCGGTCGCCGTCATTTCAAGAGAATGGGCCCAGGCCACAGCAGCGACCCGTCGTCACTCCTTCTCACAGTCAAGCCCAGTCTCGGGCACCTCTACAACTGCAGACGACGCCTCAGCAACAGCGTGTACCTTCGCAGTCGACGCCTCAGCAGCAGTACATGTCCTCTCAGACCACGCCGCAACAGCAGCGACCCCTGCAATCGACACCCCAACAACAGCGCCCTCCACAGTCGACACCCCAGCTACAGCGACCCCCTCAATCACAGTCAACACCTCAGCAGCAACGTATACCCTCACAACCTACGCTTCAAGAGCAACGTCCTACCTCGCAATCTACTCCTCAACAACCCCGACCCCCACAGTCTACTCCTCAGCAACAGCGACCCCTTCAATCGACGCCCCAACAGCAGCGCGTACCCCCACAGTCTCGGACGCCGTCGAGCCAGTATGGCAGTCCGTTCCCACAACCGCCCTCGTCCAAACCAAGAATGCATCCCCAAGTCGTCATACCGAAAGCATCGTCTTTGCACCAGCTTACGCCGACGAAGCGCGCCCATCCACCCCAGAAGGCCCTTCCTGCCGAGCTCTCCGAACTACTGCTCACGGCTGCGGACGAATACATTGCGGTCGCGCGAGGCATGGGATCGCTGCTCATACGGGAGAGAAGGGAGGCCGACGTCAGGCAATACTACAAGTTAATGTCTACTGCCATGGGGTGCATGGATACCGTGCTGAAGGACTTCAACATGCCGCCTAGAGACGAAGCCAAGCTGCGGTTGAGGTATGCCAGCTTGATGATTGAAGAGACAGACATCGAGGCCGCGGACATATCCAGTCGGATCGAAGAGATTCTGTCCAAGCAGATATCGCTCTGTGGACGCCATCGCCTGCAAGACCTCAAGTTTGCTGCCCTCCATCTTCAGGCACGATATCAGTTCAAGACAAACCACCGCGCCGGTCTCAAATCACTCGATCAGCCTATAAAGGAGGCGGAGACCTTTCAACATATTGCCTGGGTGTATGCGCTGCGGTTTCTCAAAGTCACGCTCGCACTGCAGATACCGGGTCGTGTCGAGGTGGCATTAGCACTCCAGCAACTCCATGCTATACAAGACCACGCGGACCGGCGGGGTGATCGAGCCATCTACGTCGCTTGTCATGTACTCGAAGCGATGGTCCATCTACGCTCGGGTGCAAGCGATCGACTCGAACAAGCCCAACGCGCCATCGCAGCAGCCAGAAGCCTGCAGCTTCAAGTATCAGCCAAGCAACTAGGGTCGTTTGGCACTCTCATCGACATTATTGACATTGCTAGCGGTATCCAGAAGGGTAGTCCCAACCCACAGAAGTCTACCGCGCTTCTGGAATCGATACTAGGCGACAAAGATGAACAGGGCAGCTCCCAAAGCGGCGTCTTCACTGTTCTCATTGAGCGGAGCTTTGGGGGTCACTTGACGTTTGACACTGCTGGCATCTTCCGAAAGAACGCGGAGCAAAAGGACGAACTGGTATTTGCATGGCTTCCGAAGGAGGATCTTCAAGCGCTGTGCTTCCATATCTGCGCACTGGACCAACATGTTCATGAGAAGGGTCTGAACTTTATGAAGGAAGCACATCAGCGCTTCCGAGAGACTGCGAAGCGACGCGTTTACAGTGGTGTACCTATACCCATCGCCTTTGCGCGCATCGAGTGGAACATGGTCCTCGACTGGTATTCCATGTTCGCCATCGGCCTCATGGCGCGTACTAGGAACGATTCCGCGACCGCCGACGATGCGTTGGGTTTCCTCAAGAAGAAGATCTCGACGACCCCATACAACAACCAGGAAGCATTCGCTCGCACGCTCGCCTACTTCTCCGCCATCACCGACCAGATCAACGGATCCCACACGTCCTCACTAGCCGCATTGTCCTCGGACGTCCTCGCGATACCAGAGAAGGGCCACGCAACCCCCGCTAAAACAGACATTGCAATAATGGCAGCATTGAACCGCCTCCTCATTCTCCGCGATGCCTCGCACCCACAACACTTCCAAGCAGCCCTCCTTCTAGCCCAAATCAAACCCCTCTGCGACGACCACCCAAACCAATACATCCGCATCGCCTTCCGCCTCGTCCAAGCCTACCACAGCGAAGACGCGCCCATCCTCCAACAGAAAAAAACCGTTCAAGCCGCCGTAGGCATGGCCCAGGATGTGTCGAAGCGAACCCAGAACTTCGAGTTCGTCGCTATGATGATGTGTTACTTTGTTGCGCGCTTCTTCGCCGAGACCGTCGGCGAGAAGAGTATTCAGGCGATTCGTGCGGCGAGGTCGCAGGCCGTCAAGGTGCATAGGCCGCTGTGGGTTGCTGTTGTTGCGGGCCTTTGTATGAATACTTATCGACGGAATGGACTTGTGGCTGAGGCGGATTTGGCGGCGAGGGAGTTTGAGAATGTGAGGGGTCAGTTGCCGGTTGCGTTGAGGGGGGTGGACTGCGGGGGTGGGGATGTGGATGCGGATGGTGATGTTGATGCGGAGGGGGAGGAGGATGTTGATGCTGATGGCGATATCGATGTTGTGGGTTAGGCGGAGGGTTGTGCTTAGGGTTTTCTTCTTCATTGTGCTTCCTTTCAAAGCTTTCTCAAAACGCATTTGTTGGCGCTATATGGCGGGGCTTCATCATGTACTGTAAAGGGTTCGAGATACCATGGCGGTCTAACGGCGTTTCAATGCATTTGCGTTACCGAGAGATGGGGAACAGTGTGTAAGAAGTGTGATAGTGAGGGAGGGGATGGGTTACAATAGAATGTGTTTAATATCTATCTGTACTCGTTGAGATGAGTTTGCGTTTGCTTGCGGTGATTTCGGCTCTGGCCTACACGTAGGCTCCACGCTGCTAAATAAAGCGGGGGAAAGGAGTTGGATCACGAAGTCGTCCACCGAGCGAGAAGCTCATTCACGATGTCTTCCCCATTATCTTCTACAGGCACCATTGCGCTTCCCTGGTCCTGACTGCGCATAGCTTCCATCTGTCGGTTTGCTATCTGAGTGAAGTCAAAATTGTGACTGGGTGCCAAAGAATGCGTGCCCGTGTACACGGATCCCTGGGGATGATAGGGTCTCTCCCCAGGCATGCTCTGATATACAACTGGTTCAACATCAGCGTCAACCTCGTCGTCTGATTCGTCGTCCGCGTCCGGCATTGCTGTTGTTGCTGGATCAACGGAGTCCGCGGCATGTGTATCAAGGTCGGGATCGAATTCGTATGGCATTGAGGGTGGAATTAACGCTGATGGATCAGTGTATTGCGCGGCCCATGCATCAACGTCGGGATCGTATTCGGTTGGCATTGATGTTGATGGATCAACGTGTTCCGCGGCCTCAGATGCGCGTGGCCTAGAATATCCTCCAGATTTGGAGGCATCAGAAAACTTTACGGATGTTCTATCGAACGCTTCGTACCCCGTGTTCAGTGTACTGGGCCTCTCATAGGAGAATTGCTCCTCCAGCACATCCTCAGATTCATCAGGCGGGTGTTGTGGTGGTGAATCGAGCTCATTGTCGAATTCGTCGTCCGCGTCCGGCATTGGTGTTGTTTTTGAACGAGCGAGTGGCGTGGCACTCGATGAATCCATTATTGGACGGAAGTCGGGGTTAGGTTCAGGTGTAACAGGCTTTTCTCCGGGCTTGGAGGATCTTTGGTTGTACATATTGAAGTCTGGAGACACTAAGTCACTCCTGGTAGGCTCAGGGGGTATTTGTCTGCGTATACTACCGCCTTGTTCTCGTCTAAGTCTGCGGATGAACGAGCGATTGAGATCGGGAGTCGAGGAAGCAGGAGGTGTAAGTCGTGGGGGCGATGGGGTGTGAGATCCTCCTGCGGCTAGCACCGCGGGTTCGAAGTCGTGAGAAGGATGCTGTGGACCCATCGCAAACAGTCCGGTACCACCTGAATTACTTGGGCTATTCTCTCCCGGTGGCATTTTAATTTTCATTCTGGAGATCCACTTGAGCGTTTCAACGTTCAATGTACCAAAAACACTGGATACACTGATGTTGCGTTGTAAGCGAACATACGCTATTTCCCAATTGTCTTCATTAATTGTCTCTTTGATCATGGCCTGCTGCTCTCGTGTGAGCTCTGACATCGCGATGTGTGGATCGTTGCCTTCGTCGGTGTATTTTTTGACCAGTTTCTCGAGTGAGGCGTGGGGTAGCTCCATCCCATCTAACAAGAGTGAGTCGCCGCGACCTGTTTGAAGTCCCTGAAGAAAAGTGGTAGTAAATCCTGAATAGAAGCAGATTACATCGTCATTGTCCGCGGTGGTTACATTATCACCGCCTGCAGCGGTGGTTGCCTCAGGTTGCGCCTCATGTTGCTGGGCTGCTGCCGTCGGCTCGAATGGTGGGATAGAAAGTGTAGATTGCTGGGGAATGGGTTGATCTGAAGGGTGCGACTCTCCCGGTGAACTCGGACCTGGGGTCTTTACTCTTCGTGACGATGTTATACCTCCTGGACTTGAACGTGAACTGGCTCGGACTGGCTCACTTGGTCCAAGAGATGCGTGCGATCTGAGAGGAAGTCCTGCCGCTCGAACTTGTGTATCACCGATGGAGGCCAGAGACATATTTGCGACACTCATACCGGTTCCGGGTAACGAGATTCCTCTACCTCTATCACTGGAAGGCGACGGGAACCCGTCCGATACTGGTGGGCCAGGCGGAAGGGCTTTTGCCAAAGTCGCCATCGCAAACATGGGTGCTTGCTTGGAAGACATGCCCTTGTCGGCATCAACACCTGAGGTAGAAAGACTTTGCGAGTCCTTCACCTCCCTTCGAGGAATCTTTGAAGAGTGTTGAGGTTGTGTTTTGACCGCATTCGCCCGTTGCAGCTGCACAATCGTAGACCCGAGCTCCAGTCTCTCCGTATCATGAATCGGTCGCTGTCGTCCATCTCTCTGCGCAAGAGCAAGGCTGGCCACAGCAATCATCAATACAAGATTTCCCTTCGCATCTCGAAGATCGTTGCGCAGCTCGTCGAACTGTGGCTGTAAAAACGGCCATTTCGCTTGTTCGAACCGGGAAAGCTTGATGTTTGATCGCAGCGCTGGGCGTTTCCCCACTTGCTCGAACGCGCGACGCAAGAGAGCTTCGATGTCCGTGAAAGAGGACCTGCATCGGCGGAGAGCATGCGAGATGTCGTTGAGAGCGATGGAGTTGAAGACCGACTTGAGAGTGCCTTGCGCATCAGGCTGAGGTATGATAAGTTCGCGCACCTGGTTGAGAATGGCGCATGTGCTGCTGATGTCGTCTGCGATGCTTGTTACTCTTTGGCTGGCTGTCGCAACCTTTTCGGCAAGTGCGTACAGCTTTACGGAGGCTTGTACGCCGGCTGCGGTGATGCCCACCACGGATCCTGCGATGCTGAGAGGATCCGCCATTCTGTGCTTTCGAAGCAGTAATTGTGTCTAATCAATCAGTCAAAACATCATCCATGCGCGGAAAGAGGATAGAAGCCAGAACCATGAGTTTATGGCTGATGAGATTAGGAAGGCTGAGATGTGCGTCTTGGGGGCGCAGCCGGCTTACTCGATATCGCGTACAGCTCACTCTGTTCATTCAATACGCGAGACAGGCGCCGTGCAGCCTACATAAACATGGAAAGGGAATGTTAGCAGGATATTACCGCAATTAAACACTTAGATCATTGGCTTTGGTTGTATCCTCTAAGGACGGGCGTTCGATGTGTCCCCCGAACAGGGTGGGCTCATCATGCCGGCAGATGGCCGCATGGTGGTACCTAGGTAGTACTACTACTCAGCTCTGCCTCATTGAAAAGAGATCTTAAATTCGAAAGGCTCATGGTGCGGTCACCGCTCGTTCTTGTTGTTAAAGTCTAGTGCCCAGGGTGTTGGATGTCTCCAGAAGCCGGTGTAGACCCTGCCAATCTGCCCCGCCCCACTTCAGCTTCGCGCAACGCCAACCCATGTCTTTCAGAAGGATGCACCTCGATCCCTCAACGGCATAGCCACGCCACTGCTGACATGATCATGTTATCTTTCGCTCCCCCGCTGCTGTCAGCACACTATCTGCGAATTTCCATCGCGACCACCTCTAATGTCGATTTGATCAATTTCCTTCCACTGCTTCTACAACATGCACCTTCTGCGACGTGACATCGACGGCGAGTTCAGCCTTGCTGACTATGACGACAGACAGCTGCCACCCTATGCCATACTGTCACATACCTGGGGTTCCGATAACGATGAAGTGTCCTTCAAAGACATCGTGAAAGGCAGAGGAAAAGAAAAGCAAGGCTATGCCAAACTACACTTCTGCGCTGACCAAGCTGCCAATGATGGACTGGAATATTTCTGGGTGACCTGACGATGTTCTTCTTCCTTTGCGCATCGGCTAATACGTGTTAGGTGGATACGTGCTGCATTGATAAGAAAGATAGCGTGGAACTCTCGAAAGCGATAAACTCCATGTTCTCATGGTATCAAAATTCGACCAGATGCTACGTCTATCTCTCCGATGTGATAGCTCCGCCTCGGACGCCTTGGAAGGATGCGTTCCAGAAGAGCAAATGGTTCACTAGAGGCTGGACTCTACAGGAACTACTCGCCCCATCTTCTGTCGAGTTCTTCACCGTTGATGGTGAACGCCTAGGTGATAGGCAAACACTATCGCAGGCCATCCGTCAGGCTACATCTATCTCTTGGCGAGCTTTGAAGACCACTCCGCTGCATCTCTCAGACTTCAGTATAGACGAGCGCCTGTCCTGGGCAGCTGGGCGGGAAACCAAACGTGAAGAGGACGCAATTTACTCTCTACTGGGTCTCTTCGACGTACACATGCCACCTATCTACGGAGAGGGCAAAGCAAATGCATTTGATCGCCTCGAATCAGAGATTGAACGAAAGCTGGTACTTGATAGTTCACGGAAAAGGAGCGCCTCGGAAGCTTTTGAAACGACGCTCACTGGCCTGGAAGGAAGTAACTCGAAGCTGAAACAATCTACAAGCGACAGGGCTCAAGAGCATTCAGTGGTAATGCAAGACTGGTGGGCTGAAGCAATCGCTAGGAATATGGGAACACCCAGAGGCTATGCAAAAGTTACTGTGTTGCTTTTGAAATGGGCAGATGAACTGGATGAGCTGCAAACGAGCAACGAAGTGAGTGAGTTTAGATTCAAGTTGAACTTTAGCACCACCCAGAATCTTCGCGCAGGTGTTCTAATTTGATCATAGGTAGAAGAGCTCGGACATATCTTCCAGGACCGATTTAATTTTGAGATTGAAGTTGCCGAACTCAACCACCGAAGCAAACCACAACGTCAGATGGATCGAATCATCACCACATTCGTCGAAGCCCACGATCAGCCTCGTAACTTGTTGATCGTGTACTATACGGGCCATGCTATCCACTATAAGAATGCCGGTCGACTCGAATTCTTGCCATCCTCGCAACCACCAGCGGCCGGTGGCACTTCTACCAGTGGTCAGATAAACTGGTATAAGACAGAAGACTTCCTTTGTTCGGACGAAGTCGATGGCGACATTCTTGCGATACTGGACACAGAGTATGCGAGTAATGGCGATGTACGTCATGTGTCCAATGACGAACGCGACTCGAATTACAAAGATCAAGGGACTGCCAGGCGATTCCAGTTGATAAGCAGCCGTGACAATCCAGCTCCTGGCTCCGAGTCGCTCACGCGCGCATTGATCGACGGGTTAAAAGAGCTCTGGGAGCGCAACAGGACTTCTGGTTTCTCGACTCAGGACCTTCATCAGTGCATTGAGATGAACCCAATCCGGTCAGGCATAAGCTCTAAGATGTGGTCTTTGCTACCGAACAAGCGCCATATTCTTCTGACACCGATAGCGCATTCGGAAAATGATACGTGCGAATTCCAGCAGCATCGTAGTCGCCCTGAACGAGGTTACTTGAAGCTCGGCCTCGAACTCAAGGACTCGTCTTTGGATCAGGAACAGATAGAGAGTCTTGCAAAGATCTTGTGGTCATCGTTGGATAATCAGTCTATAGGCCTACAGGGTATTGATTGGCTTGGGTTCGAGCGTCGGGACAAGGGCCACTCTCGTCTTCAGCATCTCTCTCCTTGAAAGTGAGAGGCATTGCACAATAGGACCACGGTGGCAAAGAGAAAGACAGAAAGGGTATTTGTCGCTCAATAAGCTTTTCTGTCGTAGCATAGTCGGGGTCCAGCGAATGTGAGTGAGTAAGCTCCGTGAACTCAACGCCAATTCGTTACTGTCCTTCTACACTACGCGGGTTTACCTTAGTGAGTAAGAAGCTTTACATGTGTATAGTAATCACACAGATGCACGCAGTCGTACGAACGTTCAGTGTTATTGAATGATCGTCCATCTCAGTGTACGCCAGCGGAGACTCATCCGACAAGCGAGATGCGCCCGCAGCTTGCTTATCCGAATTCCGAAGAACGATGGACTGGGCGCAAGGCGTGAAGCTAGCCAGCACACGAGAGCCTTGAGTTCCGGTAGCCGCCTATCAACGTTTGGACACCGAGCTAAGTGTTGATGGCATTCTCCTGGCCTTTGTAGACTGCCTTGCGTCCATGGCAAGTGTTGTTATTAATTCCCGGACGATCAACTATGACATTGACATCCAAGTGGGTATCATCCAGCGCCTACCGCGTCAGTTCGCGCTTCACATATCCTCTCAGCAGCGTGATTCGAGTGGCGCGGTCGATATGTAAGCACGTTTGTGCTTGTTTGCAGCATTGTCAAACGCCTGGAGACCGAAACGGCGACATGCAGATGGCATCGAGAACATAAAGTTCTGGCAGACGTGAAGTGGTGTGTTGATGCGATGTGACATGTTGGTTCGAAGGTTTCTGACTCTCTAGGTAGTGACCAGTGACTGCAGATCAGGGGCCGACGATCGTTGGACTTGGACTGCAGCTTGGAGAATGCTCAGAAGACGTTGGCTGGTGCTTGAACTGTCCGTTCAGATCAGCCTAATGCGGGGTGCCTTACGCCGTTTTCGCTTACCTAGAGAATGTCAATCGCAAAGATGCCAATAATGCCATGTGTCGATCCAACGGTGAACCCATCTTCGTGCAGGATCTGGAAAGACCCTGGCTATACATACTGGAGCTATTGAAACGTGAAGGTGCCAGAGGCGCGGTACTGTAGGATGAGGACAGCGATCGACCTGCGTGCCACAACGCGGTCCATGTTACAGCACGCTAATTCTGCGTCGCTGAGGAGGTTCGAAGATCTGCGTGGCTAGTAAAGACACCACAGTCCATGGCTGGTGTTCGAAGTCAGCTCTCACGCGATCAGTGCTGCGGTCTCGAATTAGACTAGTGCGCCAAGGAGACGATTTGGCGCTATCGACCCGTTCCGGCTGAGATCACGTTTCACGAGATGCTTCCGAGGTTCCGGCATCTTCTCCCTTCCCAGGCATCCACTTGCTTGCACGCCCTCTACATGGCAAAATCATGACGCGCTTTTACGAAACTTCGTTCATGCTGCGCAATAGATCACAAATCAGCTGTTGTCACATGGGCTCTGTGTTCGTACTGCTGCATCGCTGACGTAGCGCAAACCTTCTAACCGACCCTGTCCGGGCGCACCTCAGCTGCAGGAATCCTGTCGCACCCCGCGTTATGCCGCTACCAGCACAATATCTGCATGGGATTATCGTTCCTGAGGCAGTACTCGAGCTTGAAACGGATGTTACCTCACAAACGATCCTTTTGAGATCCTTTCCCACGCGAACGACACACACTGCATTGCTTGGGATGTCAGAATGACATATTCATTCGCAGTACTGCGTGATGGCTGATCTGTCGCAAGACTCAGCAATGTTCCAAACAGGCATGTGTCAGGCGAGATGACCTCGCACGGTGCTTGCGATGCACAAGAATGCGACCACAGCCGCGAGGCCTCCAGCGCCTGTTGAGACGACTACGGACATGCCAGAGTCGTGGCGTGGCGCCTCCGTCATTATAACCGCAGTCTATCTCAATCGAGACTTTACGAATGCAACGGAGCAACGGACAAAGGCGGCCCGGTCTACCAGCATTGTTCGACGTATGCTTCTGGTCAGTTATTTCCAGGGCCCCTCTCGAACGGCGGACCTGAGCACAGCAGGCTGGTAGGTGGTAAGGCAGCTAAAGATGATAGAGTTTGAAATCCGATCCGCAGGGATGCTTCCGAACACGAAGACTGTCCATGGACTCCTCTAGCGTCACACTAAGGCTACGGGCAGATTACACCACTCAAATTAGCCGGTATTTGGTGGCTCTCCTACATGACGCCACCATCTTCGAATGGTACCCTGGTCAGGTTCTCTCCCGCACTATCCTACCATCAGCATGTGAACATATCATGTTGATGAAAGGCTCAGAGGCTCGCCAAAGTTACGACCAAGGCACGCTCAAGAAAGAGTCATTGCACCTAATAATACGAGAACCAACTGCGGTATGTTCACGCAAACGGGTTCGTGCCGAGCTCTCACCTCACCATGACAGCGCTTCCGTTCGCAATTCGCCGGCCTGGTCATTCAGCAACGAAGGCCGTTCGTTCAACCCAAGCGATCTTTTGCGTAACACAGACTGCGCCACGCGAAAAGCTCGTTCGTCAAAGCACCTGCATGATCTGCACCCGGCGAACCGAGGGACGACTTCGTGGTTTGGAAGACGTCCACTTAGCGGCAAAGATCGCCATCCACCATGGCAAACGCATAGACTGCATCATGCAAGTGAGTTCGTATGCATGGTGTGGTCTTGCTCACTGCGACGGTCCGCTACGGAGATGTACCCCTCGAATTTAGACTATTTACGTATGCAGGGAGAAGTGCATAGTCTCATTGGCTCAGCCAACATCTTGCCGTCTGCTAAGTCTAGCTCTTCCGTTAGGCACCCCATCCCCCCAGATCTTCCCTACAACTGCTACCAGGGTCTCGTTTATCCATCAGTTTTGAGTTTCGGATGCCTCCTCAAACGACATAGCCTCCCGGTTTTGTGTGAACTGTCACCCTAGTCCGTGCAGCTTGCAGTGCAGGTACCTCCGGGCGCAGTGCCTGACACATGTACTCTTCCACCCACGGGGAACTGCGAATACATATGTAAAGGAGTGCCTTGGTAACCTCACCACGCCCGTCCGACATATCGACAAGCTACTTGTAGCATCGTCTGTTTCTCTTCACAACAGCCATGGATCCCTTAACACCCGAGCAGTCGGCTGCCTTGGCCGAGGACGATCGGGGTCCACTCACCAAGTCTATCGTCGTTGCTTTTACATGCATAGCGGTGATATGCGTTGGCCTGCGTCTCTTCACTCGGCTTCGATACCTGGGACGAGCATTAGGATGGGAAGACTACACCATCGTAGTCTCCATGGCTCTCTCCATTGCCACCGGCATACTTCAGGTCATGCAGGCGAATGCTGGAAACGGCAAACACGCTGCCCTGATCGAGTTTCCAACCGGAGTTGAAATCATCTTAAAGGTGAGAACTCGTACAACATCTACAATCCTAAGCTAACGTATTCCAGTACCTCTTCTGGAGTATCATCTGCTACAACGCCAGCCTTATGTTCACCAAAGTGTCCATTCTCTTGCAATACGGCCGAATCTTTACTGTGCGCGAGATGCGCATTCCACTCCACATCGTCATGGCCGTGTGCGTTCTTTGGGGTGTGAGCACAATCATCACCTCTATCTTCACATGCGTCCCTGTCCACGCCTACTGGAAGATCCTGGAGCAGCCAACTTCGAAGTGTATTGACAACAAGACGTGAGTGTTTCCAAAGTGCTCCGCCTCACGATGCGCAATGCTAATTGAATCACAGGATTTGGTATGTGAACGCCAGCATCAACATCGTAACCGATCTCCTCGTCGCCTTCCTTCCCGTTCGCGTCATCTGGACATTGCAAATCGCCATGCGCCAAAAGATTGCTCTCTTGGCCATCCTCACCATCGGTTGGTTCGTCTGTGTCGTGTCGATCCTCCGCCTTCACGCTCTCGTTGTCCTGGTCGCACATCCCGACGACAACACTTACTACAGTGCACCGACAGCCTACTGGTCCGCGATCGAGATGAACCTCGCCATCGTCTGCGCATCGCTTCCCGCGCTCAAGCCACTTGTTGTCAAGATTATTCCCGGCTTCTCTTCATCGCTCAATGCCAGCAGGGCATACGGGGGTGGGACCGGTACTGGAGCCAGCACGAAGCAAATTGGTGTCAGGACCACAGCAAGACGCATCGACGATGACTTTGAACTGGGTCGGCCAGGCAGCACAACACCTTATCAGACGACTTCAGAAGAAGGCGGCATGTTTGGGAAGAACATTTACGTTTCTCGACATTTCGAGCAGCATTTCGAACAAAGTTCGCGGATCAGCGACAGCGAGAGCCAGAAGGATCTTGTCGCTGAACCCAAGTCAGTACTTCATTGAACGATTGCTAGATAGAATTGAACATCTTCTTTCGAGAATTGCACACGCATGAACCATCTCATCTTCTCTCCTCCACATCCTGCGATACGGTGTTCAAGGCTCGGGACAGCGCACGGTGTCTCGCGACGTGCCGCCTTGCAGGGAACGCATATCGGTTATCATCTACCTTTCACGCTGGCGCAGTGTGCAAAACGCCTCTTTTCATTGTCCACCACTCGTTTCTCCAGTCAAAGTCCGGCGCGCGCTGAATGGCTGATCGCAGTCTTGGCCTCCACTATTAGCCGTGATTATGGGTGCGGGTGAGAATGCAGCGCCACCCGTCGGAAGGCTTGAATATGGACTTCCTCGAGCATTGTCCAAGGGGTTCTTGAATAGCGCATTGAGGTACTTACGATACAATGTATGAGCGCTGGGCTATGATTTGAAGCCTGCCTATTTTAGTAAGGCATGAGGCCTCAACACCAGCGCACGCGTGGAACCGATCAGCCGCCGTCATCTGCACGACAAGTGAGCCACGCGTCTGGCGGAGATGCTCCCTGTGGATTTCAACGTCCACGATGGCGACGAGGCTGTCGATCACCCAGCGGCATCTCCAGAGGTATCGCTCGCTAGCTTGTTCGAGTCTGGCATCTCGGTAACGGCCCGATTACGCTTCAACATGCCGGTCGCCTTCTTA